TATATATATATATATAAGGAAGAAAAAGGATAAGACAATAAGGGCGCCTACTGGATACGATTTATACAAGGGGGGGAAAAAAGAGTAAGGTTTGCTCAAAGAAAAAAAAAAGAATGAGGCAATAATGTCGCTCATACCGATTTGCATAGTTGTGTTTTTCTAATTTGTTTAATAGGACTTGACTGACTTGCTTATATATAGCTGTGGGTAAAGATTATATTTGTCTCATTAATTGAGGATCTATAAATTCAAATCATTTTTGTTATATAATAATATCCATCCTGCATGCTGTGGGTCAAAACATAACCGGAGTGCATTTATAGCTGTAGACTCATGCATGGCTTAAGTCAAGCCGCAGTAAAAGTAAGCGGCTTTATGGACAAAAATGTAATGATGTAAAGTCTGATTTCACAGTGTATTATTCTCATATATTCCTCATGCATAAAGAAAGTAAGCGTGGAGAAATGAAGATTCATAATTATCTTGCAAAATTTCGGCAAGTACATGTATTGAACCAAACAGTTTAATTAGCAGGGGAAGAGAAGTAAAACTAAAGATGGAAATACAAAATTAATCATGATTCATGAGCGCCTAAGTCCTTTAAAACTAGCAATATTTGCAAATGGCCATTTACTTGGAAGACATAAGAAGCTAATTATGCTCGGAATATATAACTAAGTATAATTAAAATTCCATCTAATCCGCAATAGAGTGAAGTTGAAGTTTGAGCAACTTGTTTGCCTCAACAGAAGAGAGGAACTGAATCCAAGCCTAGAAGCGGCCAAATCAAACTGGAGAAGATTGTCCTCAATCTGATGCCCACCAATCACAATGGCTGTAGGAGTGAACTTCACACCCCAATCAACGAACCGAAGCGGACCGCCATCAACAGCTCCAAGGCACAAAACATCCTCACTAACCCTAACCATGGAGTTGGCGCCAAAAACCCTCCAGTACACATTCTCGTGCTGCAACACAAGGTCGATCGGGGGCACGGCCGGGCCAGTTCTCGTGCTACCGATGTTCTTCGAGCTGAAGCACGACCCGAACGGCGATACCGCGGCGACTTTAGAAACCTTGTTCCCTAGTTCTTTAACAAAAGCATCAACAACGGCATTGTATATGGATGTTTCCAACACGGTGTAAGGATTGACAGTGCTGATCTTTGTTCCGCCATAGCCTTCGCTGTCAATTGACAATAGTGTAGTATTCAACGCGACGGGTTTGCCGTTTATCTTAACGCTCTTTACTCCGATGAAATACTCTGCCGACGCCTCACCCGCGGAACTTGTGACGAGGCTTACCGGGTTGCGGATGAGAGGAGTGTAAGTAAGAGACTTGGAGACGTCAATTCCAGGAAGCAAAATATAAGGCCCGTCTCCGAGAAATACAGCACCAAAAGTTTCCTCCTTCGTGGAAGGGCTCAAGCAAACGGCAAACTTCCTCGGAAAGCTAAAAGCAGCGGAAAACAACGAAGGCATCGATACCTTGTTCCATCCAAGTCCCGCCACTCCAACTGCACCACTCACAAGGCCTTCCAAGAGAGAAGTCGGCGCGCAAGAGAAGAGAAACTTGGCGACCGACACGATTTTAGTGGGGTTTTTCCCATCAGTGGATTGGATGTAGAGAATATCTTGTGAGAAGTCACCACTGGTAGTGGTGCTGATAAAAGGGTTGTGAGGGAATTCGACGCAGACGTCGTCTGACGGGTTGGGGTTGGAAGTGCAGGCCTTGGAGCCGCTGAGATTGCACCGAGCGGACCGGCAAGGGACGGGGTTTTTGGTGGAGGAGTTGAAGGCGTTTTCGCAGTCGACCCAGAGGAATTCGCCGCCGAGGTCGATGGCTAGCTTGATGGGGACGGGTGGCGTGCGTTGAGCGAGGGTGGTGTAGTATTGGAGAGTTGAGGCGTCTTTGGATACGCGTATGCCGAGAGCTTTGGGACGGAATGAGGACTGGGCTGTGGAGAGGGAGAAGAGAAGAGACAGAAAGCAGAAGAGAAGGGAATGCAAAGAGGAAGATGAAGCCATTTTTAGAAACGAGGTTGAGTTGATGAGTGAGGAAGTATTGGGGAGGATAATGGGTATTTATAGCTTATTGGATTCGAGATTATATGATGTTGGGATTCTATCAAACCTTGTCGTGTTTAGTGCCTGCATGTAATTAGGGGGAGGCGGTGGCAGCCTTGGAGACTTGAAAGCGTCAAGTTTGTAGTCTTTGATGGCGGCTAGAAAGGTGTATATGATTAAGGGCCCGTTTGGTTGAACGGTGGTTTAAACTTCAATTTTAGTTTAAACAGTGTTTTTTTCGTTAAAAAAAAGAACCTAAAAAGTTTTACTACAATATTTTCTCCCATAAAATTTAAATTCTAATTCAAACCACTTGATTTAAACTCACCTTGCAAACGAGCCCTAAACAAACCACTTCTCTCACAAACCTTTTTTTTCCCCCTTTTGCTGGAGGAGTTTGGATATACTTTCAAGTTGTGGTTATCCACGTATAAAAATAAAAAATAAAAAACACTAGAAATGATACAGTTTTGGTGCCTGGATTATAACCTTTACCTGTTTAAACACAATACAATACAATATAAACTACTAAACATGCCCTAAGATCATTGGATAGATCAATCTTTGGTAGAAAAACGTATGGCCCGTCTCTCTAAAGAAAACGACATCCTTTGAGTTTGATGTCGTAGAAGAGATCAAACAAACAATGAACTACATGTTCTCTTGTATGAGGCGACTTATGTTGAGAAGGGTTAAGAAGCTGCAATTCTTTGACTTTGACCATTAAAAACAAAAAGCTCTGCAACGCGGTAGTATTATATGGAGATTTTAATGTGTCCATCATGTTATAAAGATCTTATCCAATAATTGATTATACTTAAATCGTGCTGTAAGAAACCAGCTATAGATTATGTGTAAATTAATAAACTAACTAGCTAGGTGAAAAATCTTCAGTAGTAATTACGTGTAATTAATTGAGAGCTTAAAAATGAACATCGTAGAGTCAACATTCATAAATATACTTAGAATATTGATGTTGGAAGATTTAATTAAAAGTAGTCATTTTTATATTTTAGCCATGTTTTTATTTATTTATTTGTGGTTATTTATTTAGTATGTCGTTTGTCTTAGTGAGTCTTTTGTTTTTTTTGTTTTTTTGTTTTTTTTTTTGGTGAGCTATAAATAGCTACATTACTAAGTTTAATAGAGAAATTTGAATATTTTGACAATTGAATTAGCGTTGAGTTTTCTCTCTCGTTTTCAAGAGATTTTCCCCTTGTGAATTTTAGACTTTTAAATCTCTGTCTTCCATCCGGATTAAGCCGGTAAAATCTATACTATCCTTTCTACTGTATCAATCTTAGCTCGTTTCTTATAATTATCCAGAAGGAAACGAATATTAGCTGATCGATTGGCGTCTCATGGCGTTCATCTTATGTCTGAAGTCTGAACATGCTGTTAGTTTCAGTCTCCGAGTGTCCATATCATTTATGTTTGTAAATTATTAAGGAAAAAATAGCTGTCATATGCAATAACAGCTGTCCAAAGGAAGCCACATCTTCCTCAGTTAATATGCAATAACAGCTGTCATAATATTCTCCTTTAATTCCTACCAATCATCTTGTAATTATATGCTAGCTATATAACCCTAATTATAGGACCGTATCAATCTTTACCATTCTTAGTCTTGTAAGTATCTGTGTATATACACACTTTGTAAATCAATAAACGATAACAAAATCATTTTTCACCAAAACTCTTTACTCTGTTATGGTATCAGAGCAGAAAAAACTCTAACGAGTCGATCTCTTCTTTTCTGCTCTATATTTTCTTCTTTCACCATGGCTGAAGAAGGGTCAACCCTGTTGTTCCTACTGTCATCCATGCACCAGCACAACTTGTCTTCATCAACCCCGCTGCTCAACTACCATTGAAACTCACCCCGAACAATTACCCCGCTTGGCGAGTCCAAGTCCTATCACTCCTTTACGGATATAATCTACTTGGTTATGTCAATGGAAATATCCCACAACCTCCGGCCATAGTGACTCAAAATGGAGTCGAATCTCCCAATCCGAATCACACTCATGGGTTCAACAAGATCAGCTCTTGCTTCACTCCATTTTTGCATCTTTGTCTGAATAGCTAATGGCTTATATTGCCTCCTCTACATCATCTCGTGATGCGTGGGATAGACTCACCAGGCTCTATGCAAACCGCTCGCAATCTCGTGTCCTCTTTCTAAAAGAAAAACTCTCCCTCACAACTCGTGGTGAAAAATCTGTCACCGAGTTCCTTCAGACACTTAAGAGTATTGCTGATCAACTGGCACTTGTTGGGGCTCCACTGCAAGAGGATGATCTTATCCTTCACCGTCTAAACGGAATAGGACCAGAATTTAAGGAAATCAGCAGAGCCCTCCGTGCAAGAGAGCAACCCATCTCATTTGAAGCTCTCTATGACAAACTAGTGGAGTATGAAGATTTTCTCAAACGAAATTCTCCTCAAGGCGGGCTCACTCTGATCACAGCCAATTTTACACAAAAGAATAGTTCCGGTCACAACAAGCCAGGAAAGTCTCAATATCATCATAACCGAAACAACTCGGTGCAACAAAATCAATCTCAACAAGCATGGTCACAGTCTCAACAAGCCAACTAATCTCGAAACAGAAATTCCAACCTGGTGTGTCAATTCTGTGAAAAGCATTGTCACAACGCACGTGAGTGCTACACAGCAAAGCGTTTGATGGGACTCCCAGTTCCTCCCAAAGCCAATCACGCCACCATCAACAACAGTGGTACAACCTCAAATTGGCTTCTTGATAGCGGTGCTTCGCATCGTATCACATCTGACATGAATAACCTTACTCTTCGAGAGCCCTATGAAGGTCCAGATAACATCGTCATTGGTGATGGTACAGGTGTTCAAATCACACACACTGGCACATCTTTGCTCTCCAATTCTTCTAATTCTTTTTCACTTGATAATGTCTTATGTGCACCTCATATGTAACGAAACTTGATATCTGTTTGTCAATTTTGTAAAACAAATCATACATCCATTGAGTTTGACCCAACTTCTTTTTGTATTATGGATCTAACCACAGGGGAACCGTTCACTCGAGGACGCAGCAAGAATAACGTGTATGAGTGGTCAAGCGTCAGGGAGATTCAACCGGTAGAAAAGCAATCTCATGTTAGTGTCAAGGCCACTCTTGATCGTTGGCATGATCGTCTTGGCCATCCGTGGTCTAAAGTTTTGAGTCGTGTCGTGTCCTCTAATAAACTCCCTATGCAATCAAGTCAATCTCAAGTCTCTTTTTGTGATTTGTGTCAATGTAACAAAAGTCACAAGTTGCCTTTTGGTGTCTCCACTTTATCGAGTCGTCATCCATTGGATTTAGTCTAAACTGATGTCTGGAGTCCATCCCCGATTCGTTCTATGAATGGATTATCTTATTATATTATTTTTGTTGACCATTTCACAAAATATTCTTGGATGTTTTCAGTAGCTAGCAAATCTGATGTTTACTCTATCTTTTCAAAGTTCAAAAACATGGTCGAGAAATTTTTTAGTTGTTCCATTACCACTATTTATACAGATGGTGGCAAAGAATACGAGGGCCTAAAAAACTTATATGAAATTCATGGCATCCAGCACCTTGTTTCTCCCCCATACACACCCCAACATATTGCTTCCGCTGAGCGCCGTTATCGACACATTGTCGAAACGGGTCTTACCTTACTTCATCGTGCTTCTCTACCACTCTCCCTTTGGCCTTATGTTTTTTCTGCTGCAGTTTATATCATTAACCGATTACCGACGCCAATTCTTAATGGAAAATCCCCTTTTGAGTGTCTTTTTGTCAAAGTTCCCAACTATTTAAAACTAAGAGTTTTCGGGTGTCTTTGTTATCCGTGGTTGCGTCCATACACCAAGCATAAACTAGAACAAAGGTCAAGGCCATGCATTTTTCTGGGTTACTCTAATCTTCACAACGCCTATATTTGTTTTGAACCCAAAAATAATCAAACTTTTTTTCTCGGCACGTTCAATTCGTGGAGGATCATTTTCCTTCTTTTTCCACCTTCCATGATAAGGATAAAATAAATGATTTTGCTCTCTCCAAATGGGCTGCCATTACCCCTTCTTTGAAGTCAACAAACATTGATATCCCACCAAATCAGCAAGATTCTCATCTCACAAATAACACCTCAAGTCCCACTCATTCTAACCTTTTGAATTTACCTCCATTACACCTTCCACGTACAGCCTCTCCAACTTCAAATATTCCTTCCATAACATGCTCTCCAATCAGCCAAGAATCATGTCCATCCATAACTAAAGTCTTCCCTGAAGCCTACCATTTCACCACACCCGCAATCCACTTTACATACCATATCAACTCAATCCACTTCTATGTCCAATGATCATTCTCCACTTGACACTTTGCACGTTGCTACTTCTTCACCAGTTGATGATCCCCACGTGGAAACTTCTCATTCTCACAATATTTCGGCTTCGGATCCGAGCGTGGTCTCTTGTAGGTATGATTCCTCTCCTACTTCTTCCTCACACTCACCTTGCCAAAACCATGATAATCCCTCCAACACCCACGGCATGACCACAAGATCTAAAAATAATATATTCAAGCCTCTGACAAAGTTCTCCTATGCTGTTACAAAATATCCTCTACCACCCACTCTCGAACCCACCACAGCCAAGCAAGCCCTCAAAGACCCTAAATGGAGAGATGCCATGTGTGATGAGATGAATGCTCTTCTACGCAACAATACTTGGGATCTAGTTCCCCGTAAAGCCCATCACAATGTTGTCGGTTGTAAATGGGTTTTCCGCATCAAACGTCTTTCCGATGGCCGTATTGATCGCTACAAAGCCCCCATCAACACCCAAGGGTAGATTATCCTGAAACTTTTAGCCCAGTCATTAAGCCCACCACCATTAGAGTTGTATTAAGCATCGCAACCTCTCGACAATGGCCGATTCACCAATTGGATGTCAATAATGCATT